TAGACATGCTGGGATATCATGGATGCCCAGCGTCATCAGCGCCCTTATGTTGTCACCTTCTGTGGGGTTAATGGAGTGGGGAAATCTACTAATCTTGCTAAGGTCAGTGCAGTTCCCCATCTGTCTCAGACACTTCACTCTCTAGGTCTTAGCAACTCTGGTTCTAGGTGACAGTTTCTTTTGTTGCTTTTGCAGATTTCCTTCTGGCTGTTAGAGAACGGCTTCAGTGTACTCATTGCTGCCTGTGACACATTTCGTGCCGGGGCTGTGGAGCAGCTGCGTACACACACCCGACGTTTGAGTGCCCTACACCCCCCCGAGAATCACGGTGGCCGCACCATGGTGCAGTTGTTTGAAAAGGGCTATGGCAAGGATGCTGCTGGCATTGCCATGGAAGCTATTGCCTTTGGTACAGTTCACAGAAATTGTGGGAGCTTTTCTGGGCCCCTTTCCTCCTTGGGTTCCCTTAAAATGTGCTGAGGATCAGGGTTATCCTGCTACCAACTTACTGCTCAATAACAAGCCAGGATTTCTGCTTTGGGTAATAAGTGTAGTTGTAGGCAAAGGTAATATATCCCAACTGAGGAAACCTCTAATCATCTTTATCATACTGCCATCCTTTTTTCTGAATATGCTTGATGGACAAGCTTAGATTTCTTTTCCCATACTACCTTATAACCAGATCCAGAGCCCAAGAAAGTAAACAGATAGACTTTTAATATAGCCAGGCTAGGACGTCTTGAGGGGAATCTGGAAATAAGCATGTTTTGAGTTGACGTTTTTTTCTCTCTAGCACGTAATCAGGGCTTTGATGTGGTGCTGGTGGACACAGCTGGCCGTATGCAAGACAATGCCCCTCTGATGACTGCCCTGGCCAAGCTCATTACCGTCAACACACCCGACTTGGTGCTGTTTGTGGGGGAGGCCTTAGTAGGCAATGAGGCTGTGGATCAACTGGTGAGGGCTAGGGCCTGGTTCTGTTTCCAGCCTCAGCTCTGGATAGTTAAGTGCTCCTTATACTTATACCCCATTTTTCCTTTCCAGGTCAAGTTCAACAGAGCCTTGGCTGACCATTCTATGGCTCAGACACCTCGGCTCATTGATGGCATTGTCCTTACCAAATTTGATACCATTGATGACAAGGTAAATATGAACAACACAGGACATTGTGATTTGGTGGGGGTGGGAGGGTGGCCATCCTTCATAAGGGAGCTGAAGCTATGGTGGCTGCAAAGCCCCCCATTACT